GAAAAATACCCAAGGCTATTATAGCCCATGGTTTTTTCCAAAAAATGGCTCCAAAATCACCCCAAATTTTTATTAGATTTTCTGATTTATAATGATGTCTTTATGCTGTGTAAAAATTTTGAGCTAATTCCGACTTCAATTTTTCGAGTTACGGCCATTCTAAAAAATGAGCCAAAATCTGAAAAATACCTAAGGCTATTATAGCCCATGGTTTTTTCCAAAAATGGCTACAAAATCACCAAAATTTTTTATTACATTTTCTGATTTATATTGATGTCCTTATGCTACATAGAAAGTTTGAGCTGATTCTGACTTCAATTTTTTGAGTTACAGCCATTTTAAAAAATGAGCCAAAATTTGAAAAATACCCAAGGCTATAATAGCCCATGGTTTTTTTCCAAAAAATGGCTCCGAAATTACCCCAAATTTTTATTAAATTTTCTGATACATATTGATGTCCTTATGCTGTGTACCAAGTTTGAGCTGATTCCGACTTCAATTTTTCGAGTTACGGCCATTTTAAAAAATGAGCCAAAATCTGAAAAATACCCAAGGCTATTATAGCCTATGGTTTTTTCCAAAAAATGGTTCCGGAATCACCAAAAATTTTTATTAGATACATATTGATGTCTTTATGCTGTGTAGCAAGTTTGAGCTAATTCCGACTTCAATTTTTAAAGTTACGGCCATTTTAAGAAAACACCAAAATTTTGAAAAATATCCAAGGCTATAGCCCATGGTTTTTTCCAAAAAATGGCTCCAAAATCACCAAAAATTTTTATTACATTTTCCGATTTATATTGATGTCCTTATGCTGTGTAGCAAGTTTGAGCTAGTTCCGACTTCAATTTTTCGAGTTACGGCCATTTTGAAAAATGAGCCAAAATCTGAAAAATACCCAAGGCTATAGCCCATGGTTTTCTCCAAGAAATGGCTCCAAAATTACCCCAAATTTTTATTACATTTTCTAATACACATTGACATCCTTGTGCTGTGTAGCAAGTTTGAGCTGATTCCGAGTAAAACTTTCTGCGTCACAGCCATTTGAAAAAATATCACAATACCCATGTACATGTACATACACATGTGTGATTAATGATTAATGGAAACTACATGTAACTTTAAACCTTTGGAAGCTTCATCCCAGCCCTATAGCTTACCATTTCTTATTGATTGCTATTCTTCCAATATACTCAAAAACGTGGGAACAAGATCTAAATAAATAAATAAATATATCAATTATTATTATTATTATTTCTTACTTGAGGACATCAAAGAAAGCTGATATCTGATTGCTATCATTGTAAACTCCACCCCCAGCCCCTCCCACTGGTGACCCTATTGGAGAGAGAGAGTAGGTTCTTGATAAAGGAACAGGACCATCAACACAATCCTACCACCACTGGATGAGAACATCTAGTGAAGAGAATAAATAAAATAAATAAATTAATTAAATACATAAAATCAAACTGTTTGAAATATACAAAATTAATGTACATGTACATGTAATACATGTACATGTAAGACATGCATGTAGTATTACAGTAATCATTGTTAAATCTAGAAATAAATTTTGAGAGACCGATCTAACTAAAAATGGTAGACTTAAGGACACCTAGGGCTAAATATGAGATACCAAAAGCTGAAAAATGAGAGATTTCTGGAGACTTAGACCAAATATGGGAGACTAAAAGTCTCCTAAACTCCCTCTAGATCTAACAGTGATTATAAGTTATCATTATTGGAGCTTACCGATATTCAAATCTTCAATGACAAATAGAAAGCACATCAATAAATCCCTCGTCTCGTGAAGGCTAAAACTACATGTACATGTATTAACAGAAACAGGAGCAACAGGAGAGGAGCTGGTACATTAGGACCAGGAGAGAGAGGGAGAGAGAAGGAGGTTGAGATAGTTCACCACCAGGAGACTGATCAT